TTATTTTTTTGTGGTATCTTTGGTTTTGCAGTCTGGGTGATGTTAGCTTCAAAGTATGAGTTTGGGAGTTTTCCTACCTCTCAAATTTTCTGGATGAGTTTGAGTGGGATAACTCAGCCCTCCTGTAAATTTTTGGTAGGATTCAAAATTCTACCGTTTTGTTTTGTAGGATTTTTTTGTTGAAAGATTTTTGATGATTTCTCATTTCATACCAGTGTTGTAAGGAAAGATACTTGCTATAAATTAATTTTTCCTAAGTTTGATAAGACTTGGGACATATATGAAGAATAGTCCAAGTGTGCTTGAGAAGAATGAGGATCCTGCTGCTTGGATGGAATATCTTGTTGGTTTTGGATGGTATGTGTGTTAGATCCATTTGATCTGATGTGTAGTTCAAATAGTATTTGTAGATTTTGGATTCGGATGATCTGTCTGTTAAAAGTTGTTATATTGAAGCCTCTGGAGACTTATTAGTTATTTTAATTTATTTCTCCATTCAAAACAAATACTAATGAATTTGAAATAAGAAATATATTACAGTATTGGAAAGTTATACTTCCATAAGGCGAGAGTGGGATGTTTCAAGAGAACAGCATTGAAACATGTAAATTATCTAGGGTGAAACAGATCACCAGCCCAGGTTGGATACATGAGACAAGTTCTCCGGCCTGGTGCACTGGGAAGACCCAGAGGGATCGGGTGGAGAGGGAGGTGGGAGGGGGGACTGGGATGGGGAATACATGTAAATCCATGGCTAATTCATTTCAATGTATGACAAAAACCACTGTAGTGATGTAAAGTAATTAGCCTCCAACTAATAAAAATAAATGGAAAAAAAAATAAAATGGAAAGAAATATATTACAACAGTAAGACTTCTCCATTTAGTATTTGCTTAATGCAAGATGCAGTGTTGGTTTCATACATATTTTTGGTGTATGTCTGGATGCATTGGCCATTTATCATTACATAAAAACCTTCTATTCCATTTTTGAGTTACTGTGGTTTTGTCTAATGTATAGCTATCTCTACTCTTTTTTAATTTCCTCTTGAAAGGAATATCTTTACCCAACTCTTCACATTTAGCCTGTTTTTGTCCTTAACTCATACAGTGAGTGTCCTGTGTACAGCATATAGTTGGTGGCTGAGTCTTCTTTTTTCTTTTTCTTTTCTAACCGATCTAGCCACTCTGTCCTTTGATTGGAAAATTTAGTCCATTTAACATCAGGGTCGTTAATGATACTTAAAGACTTACTATCTTACTCTTTTCTGAATTTCTTTGTTTTTCCTTCTGATTATTTTTCATAATGGTAACTTTCTTCTCTTTTACCTTTTATGTATCTACTGTAGGTCTCTGGTTAACAGTATGAGGCTTAACAATAATCTTATGCACCTAATGATCTGTCTTAAGTTGATGACAACTTAAAACTTTATTATATACAAAAGCTCTGTCCTTTTACTCCTCACTGACATTTCTGTTATTACCGTTTATCTTTCTTATATTGTATCTTCATCTAGAAATTGTAGCTAATGTTATTGTTTAATAGTTTTTGTCTTTGATTTATAGAATAATTTATTATTGTCCTACATGTCCTTCAGAAATGAAGGAAAGTTAGAATTTACCAAACAGATGCAAAAGAGTTCATCACCAGTAGACCTGCCTTATAATAAATACTGAAAGGAGTTCTTCAGACTAAACATGAAAAATAGTGTTGGGATGGGAGGAATGGGATAAATTGGGAGATAGGGATAGACACTTAGACACTATTGATAGCATGAATACAGTATATAAAAACAGACAGCTAATGAGAACTTACTATAAGGCATGGAGAACTCTGCTTGATGATCTTTGTGACCTAAATGGAATTCCAAAAGGAGGAGGAAGTAAATGTACACATACTGTTGATTCACTTTGTTGTGCAGTAGAAACTAACACAACACTGTAAAGCAATATAGTCCCATTTAAAAAAAATTCTTTTAATACTAGCTTCTAGATTACATTGTTTCTTCTGAGAAATACATCTATAACTTTAGCGATGACATATTAGAGAAATTTTTCTCTTTGCTGCTTTTAAAATTCACTTGTTTCCCTTTTTGAAAGTTGAATTATGTGTCTTTAGATCTGAGTTTCATAATTTAGGATAAAATTCAGGGAATATAGAACATTTGGATATCCAGATATTTTACAGGTTAAGGAAACCATTAGTTCCTTGAAGCCATTGTTCTCCTCTTTCTTTCCTCGTTTCCTGGGATGCCAGTAGTATATAAGTTGCGTTCTATAATGATATCCCATAGTTTTTAATCTCTGACTAGTTTATATGAAGGTCATGTCAGCAAATTATTTTCTTGTGCTTGATCCATTTTGCTTTTCATGCTCTCTATTGAGAGATTCCCCCCCCACCCCGCCCCCATTTCATCTCCCTATATTCTTTCAGAAATTTGTTTGGTTCTCTTTTATAATCACTGTCTTGAACTTAAACTTCCTTATTTATGTGTAGCTTTCAATGTTCTGTTTAGTTTTTCTATGTTTTCTTTTAGTTCACTGAACTGTCTTAAAATGATTTCATAATTTTTTTTGTCATTTTGCAGATCTCCATGTCTTTTGGGTTGATTACTAGAAAGTTACTGTGTTTCATTGGTTGTCATGTGTCCTTGATTTATTTTTAATATATGTTTAAAATTTATTTAGCTTTAGTTAAAGGATGATTGCTTTACAACATTGTTTGATTTTTGCCATACATCAACATGAATCAACCATAGATGTTCATATGTTCTGTGAATCAACCATAGATAAACATGTTCCATCTCTCTTGAACCTCCCTTCCTCTTGCCTCACCATCCCACTCTGGGCTGTCACAGAGCACTGGCAGTATTCTTTGGGTGAGAATTGTAGAAAACTTATTCTACTGTGATGTATCCAAATTGAAATTTTATTAGAGCTAATAAAATGATTTTTGAAGGGAAATTTGAAGATGCCTTAAATAATACATCATTTTACTTTTTCTTAAGCTCATAAGACATTTTCTCAATTACCATTTTATAATTGCATTTTTGAGAGGATAAAGAAGACAAGCTAGAAAGTTTTGAAGAGAGGAAGCAGTGACAATTTATTTAGAAGTATCTATCATATTTTTATGATTGAAAAATATTTATTACTGTACTTACCATGACCTTTTTATTTGAAGCATTTGGATTAAAAGTCATGAAATAGGTTGTCTTGTGAAAATGGATTGGAAATGTCTTAGGGATGACATCTTGGAAATTAATCTTTAATTACAATTGAGTTTTTTTACTTGTATATTCGTTAAGGACTATGTGGTTAAAATGTCAAACACTGAGAGATATATCAAGAACCGTGACATACGCTTTAGGGAAAAAAAAAAAAAAGAATGAAGTGAACTGTCATCAGAGGGAGGAGTTTTTTAAGAATTTCCTTTTTATGGGGACGTACATGTAAGAGTCCCTTGGACTGCAAGGAGATCCAACCAGTCCATCCTAAAGGAGATTAGTCGTGGGTGTTCATTGGAGGGACTGATGCTGAAGCTGAAACTCAGCATGGCCACCTCATGTGAAGTTGACTCATTGGAGAAGACCTTGATGCTGGGAGGGATTGGGGGCAGGAGGAGAAGGGGAGGACAGAGGATGAGATGGCTGGATGGCATCACCGATTTGATGGGCATGAGTTTGAGTAAACTCCAGGAGTTGATGATGGACAGGGAGGCCTGGCATGCTGTAATTCATGGGGTTGCAAAGAGTTGGACACGACTGAGCAACTGAACTGAACTGGTGCTAAGTAAATCATGACCCCCCCCCCTCCCCCGCCCAATAAACCTCAGCTTTCTGCTCCCTCTAATCTACCCACTTATTTTTTAGGCATGTGCTAGGTACTTTGCATTCTTGTATTTTAACTTGTTTTTAACTGGCTATTTCTTCTACCATAGATTAAATTTTGTAGATGACCATCATCTTTATGTTTAAATGCTATTATTTCAGTCAGTAGGAGAAAGAGGAATTCTTGCTTATGGTTTCAGACATCCTACAAGTGGAACTTTGGTTTTATTATGTTCAAAGATGATTTTTTTTTTCTAGCTGCTACCAAATCATTTGTTGCCTGGAGAATATAAATATGCTTTGAGAATTATTTCTGCAATCAGAAGGTCAGTGAAGGGAAGTGATTGTAAGCTAAGCAGAAATCTCAAGCATGTTTATCATTGTAATAAATTTTTATCTTTTACCCTTCTGTAATTCTTTGGTAGGAAGATGGTAGTCTGTATTAAATTCAAAGATGTAATAAGAATTTTGCTGAAATCCCCTCAGTACAAAGTTTGTTTAACTTGAATCTTAAAAGGGTCAGTTACTGTTAATGGAGAGGAAGCTAGAGGGTGATTCTGGAGTACAAAAAATGCTCTGTACCTTATTCTGAATTATGCTAAAAAAAATACACATGTATAAATTAAACTAAACATTTATTATCATTTACTGAAATGCAGCAGAAAAGAAACAGACTTCATAGATAACAAACTGTGATTGCCAGTGAGAAGGGAAGAAGAAAGATAAGGTAGGAAATAAAGAGGTACAAACTATTAAGTGTACGATATATAAGCTCAAAGACATGTTGTACCACACAGGGAACACAGCCAATATTTTTTAAGTAGAATATAACTTTCAAATATTGTTGAGTCACTATGTTCTATATTTGAAACTTACATCATAATTGCACTCAGCTGTGCCTCAATTAAAAAAAAATTATGTTGTTTATATAGCTTATACTGTGATTAAAACAGAAAGTCCCCAAGCACTGTCATCCTGGTTGATCTACTTTCCTTTCTTGTGATATAATTGTCCAAATATTTTGCAAAATCATGATGTTTCCTTTATTTTACATTGATAGGTTTCTGATTAATCAATAAGTGTGACTATTTCAGAAGTATAAATATCACAATGATATATATAATATAAACAGTTAATGTTTGGTGTACTTTATTCCCTGGTTTAGGAGCTGTGACTAATGAGAATCAGAGGCCATGGATGAAGATGAACTTGAAATACAACCACAGGAGCCAAACTCATGTTTTGATGGAATAGGTATATCTGTTTCGTGGTTGTTCCACTTTCCATTTGCCAGATTTGGAATTGTTTATCTATAGGATGGATTTTTAGATTGTAATTTATGCATACTTAGGTATCTTCTTATCCTATCAAAAATCTCACTGCCAACTCATTCTTGTCAATAATACCATCAGTATCAAATTCTTAGCTGTTAACTTTAGTTATTCTCATTTTTCCCAGTTAAGTCCTGTTAGTTATTTCTGCTGGTATTGGTTTTCTCTCTTTGCTGTAACGCATTTCTACAAATTTGGTGACCTGTAAAATGCATCAGTTTGTTACCTCACATTTTTGTAGGTTGGAAATTCATATACCATGTGACTTAACTGTCATTTATGTAGAATTTCACAAAGCCAAACTCAGGGTGTTGGCAGGGCTTCATTCTTTTGCTGATTGCCTTTTTTTTTTTGGCTTCTGGAGACTGCCTGTATTCCTTCTCAGGTTTTACATGTGTTTCTCTTTAGCAGTAGCAAATTTGAGTCCCTATGAAGTTTTGAATCTGATGTTGCTTCCTGTCACATTTTCTTGGCTCCAGCCAGCAACCCACGCAGGATAATCTGCCTGTATCTTATTAACACCCCTAACTCCATCTGCAAGATTTCTTTTACTGTGCCACACACATATTTTCTAGATCCAAGAATTAGGATTTGTATATCTTTGAGGGACTCTTTTGCCTATCACTCTGGTTCCCAAACATTTAAGCCTCTCATAAGTATAAAATCCATTCATCCTCTCCTGAGGTTCTCAGATTTGGCATCCAAAATGCTCATCTGAAGTTAAGAAAAATCTAAAATAGCATCTAAATCAGATGTTCAGGATACACTGGATATAGTTCATTAGGTTTAGTTCAAGGTTTGAGTTCCTCTTCATCTGCAGTCCTGTGCAGCTGAAGAAACAAGTTATCCACTCCCAATGTAAATGGTAGGGTACCCTTGAATATCCTCGTTCATTCAGACTGTGAAAGGAGGGTGAAATGGTATTAATAAAGTTCAAAAATAACTGGGTAGGTTAATGTAGTAATCACCATTAGGTTTCAAATCGTGGGCATGTAATGCTGCCTTGAGTCATCCTTCCCTTTTTCATCAAAGATGGTGTTTTTCAACTGAGTAGTTTTGTCTGTGTGCTTCTTACTACTAGAATTTAGAGTGCCAGCTTTCCTTATATTTTTTCTGTTGTCTTTACTCCAGGCTAATAATACAAACTAGTATTGATTCTGAAAGTATAAACTTTCAAAGAATTTTGTGAGTCTCTTCTCTGTTTCATGGGCATTTCCTTTACTAGAGAAGAGATTTATCTACATATCTTTCACAAATAATACCATTTCTTTTTTACTTTTGCCAAGATGATTGAGGGACAATACTGTAAACTCCCTAGAAACATTTTAGTTTGTTTAATGGTGTGAGGCACACCATTTATAGCCTCAGAAAGACCTTATTCTCAGACAGCTTGGTCTGTCTGAAATTTCAGGGCCATGTAGAGTCACAAACAACTTTTTCTGTAGAAAGTTTTTTCCTCACATCACATCACCCCAGGTTTAACTCTATTTTTATTTTTTCATCTGTTGAGACAGAATATCCCAAATTAAGTCCTTCTACCTTTTTATTTATTCTTCTACAATTTCCTTTTCTTTCCTTGAATTTAGCTTAGCAGCAGAAAGAAACCAGCTCACAGTAGCAACATCACTAAAAGCTCCTGAGCTAAATATCTGAGTTAAATTTGATAAGTTACTCTTTCCATGGACTTGCAGGATAGTTTTGCTAATAAGCTATACTCATCACAACATAACAGTGTGTTCCTTTCTTTAGTTTTTAATAACGTGTTCCTCACTAGTTTTGAGCTTTTATTAGCAGTGTTTTTTTATTTTTTTTAACTTGGAGGCTAATTACAATGTTGTAGTGGTTTTTGCAGCACAGTCACATGAATCAGCGATGGGTGTAACTATGTCCTACATCCAGAACCCCTTTCCCACCTCCTTCCCCAGTCCATCCTTCAGGGTTGTCTCAGTGTACCGTCCCTGAGTGCCCTGTCTCATGCATTGAACCTGGATTGGTGATCTGTTTTACATAATGTTTATATACAAGTTTCAGTGCTGTTCTCTCAAATCATCCCACCCTCACCTCCTCCCATAGAGTCCAAAAGTCTGTTCTTTACATCTGTGTGTCTTTCGCTGTCTCACATATAGGGTCATCATTACCATCTTTCTGAATTCCATATATATGAGTTAATATACTGTATCAGTGCTTTTCTTTCTGACTTACTTCGCTCTCTATAATAGGCTTCAGTTTCATCCACCTCATTAGAACTGATTCAAATGTGTTCTTTTTAATAGCTGAGTAATATTCCATTGTGTATATGTACCACAACTTTCTTAGCCATTCGTCTGCTGATGGACATCTAGGCTGCTTCCATGTCCTGGCTATTGTAAGCAGCATTAGCAGTATTCTAAAGTCTAGATTTGTATTAACTATCTGTACGTGTTGACTTAAGTGTTAACTCTTAAGTCCATGCAAGAATTTTCTGCCTTGATTGGTTCTTCCTTCTGAAGTTTTACTAACGTGAATTGTTAGCATCCGTATTTCTGCTTGTCGTCTATTCAAGGGGAAATCAAAGCTATTTGACATTTGTAGGAATCTGTCATAGTGGCCCTCCACACTCTCGTATCCAAAATCTGTATTCATTTCTATGCCAAACTCTATAAACAGATAAAACAATTTAACACAGTGAAATTGTACATTTCACAGTTTCCATAGTCAGAAATCTGTTGTGGCATAGCTATGCTATTTGGTTTGGATTTTATGTGGCTGAAATCATGGTGTCAGCAGAGTTTTTCTGGGCTTTGGGGATGAAACTGTGATTTCAAGCTAATTCATGTGGTTGGCTGAATTCACTTTCTTTCCATTGTGGAGCCAAAGTCCCTATTTCCTTGCTGGCTGCTCTTTGCTCCTTGCTAATTGTGTACCTTCTCCTGCTTTTCATGTACCAATACCTCCCTCCCGTGCCCATCCGCAGGAACTGAGAATTGCATGTCTCTTAAAATTAATGTTCTGCTTCAGCTCTCTGATACCAGTCTAGTGAATTTCTCTGCTTTAAGAGACATGTAATCAAGTTGGATTTTGGTTCATGTAATCAAATTGGATTTTGTAAAAATCCCACCTAAATTTTGTAGTGAAATCACACTGTTTTAAGATTCCTTTGATTATATGCCCAAAGTACTCATGGCCCACATACATCGTAATTTGATACCTTCACAATTCCAGCCATTGGGACATTGACATTTTGCAAGGAGGGTAGGTCAGGGCAGTCTGTGTACCACACTGCTGTGGTGTGTCCTACCACTTAACCCAGGCACTTTTATCTCATTCTTAAACTATAATATTATTAAATTAGTTTCCTCAAAGTTATTTGTTTCATTAACTTTGCAAGTAGAGTACTCATCCTAAAATAACATGTGGATGGTGTCATACCTGTGTTCATCATGGCCCCAGCGATAAAGCATAAACCTGAAATCCTCTGTTTTGATAGTGTCCTATTTATATAGCCCTGTTTCTCAAAAGCTTTCCTGAAAGGAGCCTTGTGTATAAGGTTGATGGACTCTTGCTTCATTCCTCCAACTGCACAAGAATGATGATATTCATGAAGTTATAATAGTGGGAAAAAATGTACTGACATTTACAAATTACCCATGGTTCTAAGTACAGAATATTGTTAAAATGATTAACACAAGTCCTCTTACACATTCAAATTTTAAGGATTTCATTCATTGAATTTTATACGATCATATTGCTATATATTAATGAAACAGTAATTAACTTTACCAGGAAATATGTGGATTTTTAACATAAGGTTTCTAAATCCTAAGTATGTGTGTATGTTTCTTAAACAGTTTGGGATAGTCTTTTTAAAATTTCTGCTTGATAATGGTGACTACCTCTTCGATTACTTGAACATGGTGAAGTGTAGTTGAATTACAGTTATAAAAATATAAAATATAAATTAAATAAAAATTTTAAATATAAAAATATAATTAAACTTGTAAATAGTATGTGTGTTTTCCACAAGTTTCTCTAAAGAAGTTAGAGTCTTTGGAGAAACACACATGGTATTTCCTAGCTTAAGGGTACAAGGAAGCCTTGGGTGAGCATTAGCCAAGGTAGATTGAGGAATGTTTGCATATTAACCCTGTTTTTTTAACACTCTGTTGTTTATCTTTGAGTCAGTCACTTAATCGATCAGGTCTTCCATTTTCACGTGTCCTAATTATGAAACCTCTCATTACAGTTTATTCAGAACACTTCCCTTACACTTGCATTTGATCATCACAACAGTCCCATGAGGTATGCATGGCAAATACTACTGTCCTCATTTCACTGATGAGGAAACAAAAACTCAAGGGGGTAAATGACTTGTCCAGGGTCACAGACTGAATGTCCTAACTGTTCTCTGATTTAGACCTTTTTTAATCAGTTCTTTTTGCACTAATACTTTCACAGTTATGTTTTTAAGATGCAGTTTAAAGTCATCTGTTGCATAATGTGAATTATTACAAACATTGAAAACAAATTATCATTGAGTATTTTGTCAGAAGTTTTATAGAAAGAAAATGTCCTTTTGTTATTGTTTCTATGTGTAATTAGTTGGGTATTTACCTGTTTAAAGAGTTACTGCATATTATATTATTCTTTGGCCATTCTTAATCTTTTTTGTTTGTTAAAGAATCTGCTCTTAGAGCCTGCTCATTGACACAGGATCATTGGGCTAGGTATCTGTGTAAATTCAGCTTCTCTTAAGTCACAGCCAGGGACACTTAAGTAGCTAGTTAGTTAAGACTTCCATATTTCTTTTTTACTGGTCCAAGAGCCAAGATACCAGATTTGTTTTTGTTTATCTATGTCATGTTTGGTTAAGTATATTTTCTTCTTTTCTCACTCATGGCATTCTTGTGTTGTTCGAACAACTGTGAACTTGGTGAAGTCACTTAGTCTCAATCAGTTCCAATTGATTTCACCTCTCGACCTTCACTCCTTAACTAAATAATGGAGTAGACTAGAGTTTCTTATATTCTGAGGAACTACCTTGGAGATGGGAGGGTAAGGGCTCAGGAAGAGGCTCAGTGGAGGCATAATACTGTGAACTTGGTCAAGACCCACAGAGACCAACCTCAACCTCCACTGCTCCATGCTGTTGTACCTTTTTTCATCTTATGGGTCCTCAGAGCTTCTTGGTCAGTTGTCTTTCTTCCTTTCTCTGTAACTATGACATTCTGTCTCTTTTCATTATATGCCTGTCCTTGTAGTTGCTGGGAACTTTGTTTTTCTTTTATGACTGCCCTGCCTTTCTTATTTTTCTATTTCTTTACATGTTAATTGTTCAGGGTTGAGTAAAAACTGTGTGTGTTAATACTTTATTTCTTAAAGCTGTTTTGTTGTTTGACAAAGCCAAGTATATGGTCTCTTTTCCTGGTGGAAATGAAATAATATTAATATCATTTGAGATTGTCATTCATGCCTACCTGAAATTTGTCATTTTAATTTTTGTATTTTTAAGGAACTGATGCTACACACATGGATGGTGATCAAATTGTTGTGGAAGTACAAGAAACTGTTTTTGTTTCAGATGTTGTGGATTCAGATATAACTGTGCATAATTTTGTTCCTGATGATCCAGACTCAGTTGTAATCCAAGATGTTATTGAGGATGTTGTTATTGAGGATGTTCAGTGCTCTGATATCTTAGAAGAAGCAGATGTGTCTGAAAATGTCATCATTCCTGATCAAGTGCTTTCCTCAGATGTGACAGAAGAAGTGTCTTTAGCACATTGCACAGTCCCAGATGACGTCTTAGCTTCTGATGTTACTTCAGCCTCAATGTGTATGCCAGAACACGTCTTGACCAGTGAGTCTGTACATGTGTCTGACGTTGGACACGTTGAACACATTGTTCATGATAGTGTAGTAGAGGCAGAAATTGTCACTGATCCTCTGACAACCAACATAGTGTCAGAAGATGTATTGGTAGCAGATTGTGCCTCAGAAGCAGTCATAGATGCCAACGGGATCCCTGTGGACCAGCAGAATGATGACAAAGGCAACTGTGAGGACTACCTTATGATTTCCTGTAAGTCCTGGGGTATAGTGATTGTCAAAGGTGTTTTCGAAGGCTGTCTTTTCTAACTTATATCTGGGGGATATTTTCTTGTCTTAAACTTATATAAAATTAAGATAAATCTCTTAGGCCTGTTTGCACTATTGGTATAGTTTAGTTCCTGTAAGATAAGCCATAATTAAGGAAAGTCAAATGGCACAAAAATAAATAGTTTTTTCTATATAAGGATTTAGTAGAAAGATAAAAGCTGAAATCGTGGAAGAAGTGATGAGGTTGTTACCTGCTGTATTATCATTCCCACTGAAATTCGAAAGAGTTTCAGCTTGAAAAAGAAACTTTCTGTCTTTATAAATGCAGTCACTTTTGCACTTTAGGGTCTTTATCCACACTAGTGTCCCTCTTCTCCTTGAAGTAATTATATTTAAAAAAATAACTTCTCTTTTGGCTTGGAATTATATTACTTTAATGCTGTGGAATAAAGTAGTAATGCACAAGAGTATAAACAATTAATTTACTTAGATTTTAGATAGATTAGAAATTTAATACTATTGATTTTGCATTCTGCTCATAGCTGTTTATGGAATACTGGGTTTCTTCATTGTATTTACCTTAAAAATTTTTTTTTTGTTGATTAAAGTCACCTGGGGAATAATTAGAGATAGTTTAGCTTATACTTTTAATAGTTAATTTAGTAGAATCACTGTTTGTAGGGGTTTGCTCTTTTCTAACTTCAGTTTTTCTATATATTCCTTATATTAATGAGGTTCAGTTTGTTGACTAGATCCATCATAGTTGCTGATTTAAATTACTTGTTTATCCTAAATTGCTAGCTCATGGGAAAACTGTTTTCTTTGGAAACAAGTTCTACTGTGTAGATGGAGTTAAGAGATTCCCATTAATTCTGAATATAAGTCTTTATCCCTTCTGTATTGAGCATAGCACCGTTAAAAGTTACCGCACAAATTTTGGGGGCAGAGATGTTAAGCATTTATACATCCCTTTTGTGATCAGGCATATCATATAGCCCAACATTATAATTTTTTGCATGCAACTGAACTTGCTTAATAGCTGTCACAAATCTCATTCTGCTGGTTTAATAAATACTCATTGAACTCCTTTTGTGTATAAAACCTTATTCTAGATTAAGTATTGAGGTTCTTAATAATTTATAGTTTCTGACCTTGATTGTATTTCTGAAGAAAAAGGGGATGGTTAATATTTATCACAACTAATTTAGGTTTTAATTTTAATGTAAACTTAATTAGAATATAAATTTTTTAAAGGTGATTTTTATCTAGAGATTTCTGTTTCATTGGTATGTACTTGTTTTTGGCTTCTATGAAATATACTTCTTTTTATTCTCTATTATTTAAAACTCTGTGGGGAAAAGGAGTGCTTGGCACCTGTTTTGTTATGAATGCAGCAAAGTTATGGTCTAAGCTGATTTTATACATGATAGAGAAACCTGAGACATTGTTATTGACAGTGAATGTTATTAATAATAATAGGAAGTTTCTCAGTTCTTTGATGTATTTATTCAACATGTGTAGATAAAAGAATGTAAACAGATGTCTATTCTCTTTCTGGAAATGACAGTAAGTTATTAAATCTAAATGCCTAAGTTTTTATACAAAGTGTTGATCTTGTCAATTTTCTTCCTTCTGAAGATCTCCTTTAATGACAGAATAATTCTCTTTTATTATATAATAATGTATCTAGACTCATAGGATTACTTTTACAGCACAATGGCAATATATAGTCTTGCAGTCTTGATGCTACTGTTGATTTTAAATTGACAATGTCTTTCTTGAGGATAGAATTTGATGCATCTACTTGTTGCAGCTATCTCTACCATCAAACTATGCATATTAGGTGTGAAATATTTATTGAATACATTAACCTTATGGCTGAAATTCTGTCATTATCATGCCCCCTACAGGGACATCTATTTTAGATGTTTTAATCAGTTGGCCTGGTATTATGGTATTAGTTTCCAATTAATTATGATTGTTATATTGAACATTTACTATAAAGAGCTTCTGTGATGAGTGACTAAATGAAGCCCAAACCTTATCTAATACATTAACTTAGATGATGCATACAGTTTATGGTTTATTGCTTCTAGTAGTTATTAGAATACAAAGGATGATGAAATACTTATTTCACTTATTTTATATTTTTAAGTTCTATGTGTATATTCCTTTGTTCAGTAACTAATTGGACATGTTATATACCTTACCATTGTAAGCTCACTACTAGGTGCTTTGTTCGTTCTTAGAATTTATTTTAACATGGTAAAACAGAATAACAGTTTAACATACATAGGAATTGTTTCTGAAAAATGAATAAGGATATCTTAGGGATTATGTCCTACTGAGAGTCTTTATTTTTGGTTTCACTCTGTCTCTGTTATTGCACATGGATTCTCTCTGGTTGTGATGAGGGGAAAGTACTCTATAGTTGTGGTATGCAGCCTTTTCATTGTGGTGGCTTCTCTTATTGCTGAGCATGGGCCCTGGGACTTGGGGGCTTCAGCAGTTGTGGCACATAGGCTTTGTAGCTCCACAGCACGTAGGATCTTCCTAGACTAGGGATAGAACCCATTTTCCCTGCATTGGAAGGCAGATTTCTACCCACTATACCACCAAGGAAGTCTTTTTTTTTTTTTTTAAGCTTCTCAGCAGTAGCTGCTTTATTTTTTTTCTCTTATTTATTTATTTATTTTTATTATTTTTTTCCGTTTATTTTTATTAGTTGGAGGCTAATTACTTTACATCATTGCAGTGGTTTTTGTCATACATTGAAATGAATTAGCCATGGATTTACATGTATTCCCCATCCCAGTCCCCCCTCCCACCTCCCTCTCCACCCGATCCCTCTGGGTCTTCCCAGTGCACCAGGCCCGAGCACTTGTCTCATGCACCCAACCTGGGCTGGTGATCTGTTTCACCCTAGATAATATACATGTTTCGATGCTGTTCTCTTGAAACATCCCACCCTTGCCTTCTCCCAGAGTCCACAAGTCTGTTCTATACATCTGAGTCTCTTTTTTGGTAATGATAACCCTATATGCAAAACCAAGGAAGTCTTAATCAGTTTTTTAAAGTTTGTTCTATAAGATAAAGAAATAAGGTTTTGTTTGTCAGGCTAAAACTGATGTTTTTTAGTATAAGCATTCTTAAATGTATTTAGGAAATGTATACCAGGTGTACACTATGTCAAAGGAACTGTTACTTGGCAATAAAAGGAAGTGAAAACTAAACTGTTAAATTCAGGAAACCATCATCAAGGTACAGGCCATTGTGTTATCACTCTAATCCACTGTATTGTCTGTGTACAAAAGTTTATTTATTGTCTTTCTGGCTGTACTGGATGACATGTGAGATCTTAGTTCATAAGTAGGGATTGAGCCTGCACCCCCTACAGTGGAAGCAGAAGTCTTAACTACTGGGACTGTCAGGGAAGTCACCTACATATAACAAAATTTTAAATGCATATACACGTAGCAAAAATTATACTTTTAGGAATTCATATAGATATGTGTGCATTTGCATGAGTTTCCAAATATTTACCCAGAAATCCTCAGGAATTGCTCTGCAGAGGAGATTGCAGACATAACTTGCATGGAGACATTTTTTATTGTATACCCTCTGTACTATTTTAACTTTATACCATGTGTAAACTAATTGGAAAAAGCGTTAGAAGCAGCAATAAAAGTTAAAATATGTAATTATCAATATTCTGGTCATGTTTTAGAAAATTAAAAAAATGAAGTGGTTAAAAAATTGAATTAAACATTATCAGGGAGAAAATTGATAGAAGAGGTGACTTTTAATTTGTTAAAAGACAGTAAATCTTGAAAGCCAGGCAGAATTGATTCTTCTCATACAAATAATCTTTCCTCAAAGAGAGTAATGGCGGTTTTCTCATTAGGAAAAATGGTGGCTAGAAGGCAATGGATAATGTATTCAACATGTTAAAAGTTCAACAAAGATTGTCAACTAAGTATTCTCTAACTAAAGTTTTAAAAATAAAGGAGAAATTAAGACCTTCCCATGTTAAGAAAAGCTGTAGTAATCAAGACTGACTAGTGTTGGATAAGGGTAGGCATGTAAGTGAATGGAGTAGAGTCCACACATATTAATCTGTACATCTGTGGTCAGTTGATTTTTCACGAAGTTGTCAAGATAGTTCAGTAAAGTAAAAAATGGTCTCTTCAGCCGATAATAATAAAACTGGGATAACTGTAATTACTGTAATTACTGGGATAATTTTTACATCCACATGTAAATGAATCAAGTTGGGCCACTATCTGGAACATATACAAAAGTAACTCAGGACGTAAATGTAGGATTCAGTGGTGGCACAGTGGAAGAGTCCACCTGCCAGCCAATGCAGGCGACATGGGTTTGACTCCTGGTACGGGAGGATTCCAAATGATATGGAACAACCAAGCCCGTGCACCATAACTATGGAGTCCACATGCTGCAGCTACTTCATGCTCATGCTCATGTCTTCTGCAGCAAGAGAAGCCATTGCAGTGAGAGCCTCAGGCACCATAATGAAGAGTAGCTCCCTTCTCACTGCAACTAGAGAAAGCCTGTGCAAAGCAAGGAAGACCAAATGCACCAAAAAAAAAAATAAAATGTTGAGTTTTAAAAACTAACCTTCAAAAAGAAAAAAATGACGTAAGTGTGGGAGTTAAAATTCTAAAACAGTGAGAAGAAAATTAGGTGAAAGTATTCTTAAATTGAATTATTAACGGCAGCAGCTTCGCAGGTTTGGCACCAAAACCACAAACAGCAAAGGAAAAATAAATAGAAATAAGTCAAATTTGAAAATATTTTTGTTTCTCAGACACTGTCAACAGAGAAAAAAAAATAACTCAGTGTTGGAGAAAATTTCTATATGTATTTCTGAAGCCTATATTCAAGGGTCTGGGAACCAGAATATTAACTTTTTAATTCATTAAGAAAAAAACAACCTAATGTTGAAAATGGGCAAAGAGTGGA